TATTTGAATACGTTTAAGGTCCAAACGCATGAAATCAACTATCGTCTTAGATCCTAAACACACCTAAAAGACACCTGCAGAATCTAAACGTGTTTAATACTAACACGTTTAGAATTTAAACTTCTTTATTACAACCATGTCATGGTATATATTACCAATAACCTAAACATGTTTAGAATTTACACATGTTTATATTAAGTACATACCATTGGCCTTAAGTCGAATGTGTATAAGATGTATAATGTACATGTATGTTGAATTTAAATATGCAAATGAGATTCGCTGGCGTTTGCATAACATAAATACCACCACGAACGATATTAGCATAAAAATGTCCTAATCAACCAGGTGACTTAATGGTGACCAGGAACAGTTATGGGACAAGGAGAGTGTTTGGGTTTGTGCCTAGGACCTGAGAACAATTGTAACAGTGAACTGATAACAAACAAGCGGAATGACAATACAAATAGACAGAGGTTACGTGCTGTGTGTAAACACTGTAATGTGGTACCTACACGGCAATCTGCATAGTTAACCGTACATGGCCCGAAGGATACAGAGTTAAACGCTGGCCTTACCCTGCCGAGAAAGCGACCCACTGCATGATCAATATTTTTCTACGAATGGTATACAATGTGTAAAGATCCTAGACACAAACCGAAACACATTCATTGTCCGAAAGTTTGTCGCATGTAGGCTTGAACATGTTGAGGACCTAATAGGTTATAAAGGATCTACCCAACACCGCCCGGCCCCTGTCGTTAACACCACACACACACACACACACATTGATTATCATATATTTGAGGGGATATAGGAATGCAAGGGTGTGTGTGGGTGCGTGCTTATGGAAGGTGTGTGTGGTGGTATGTGTGGGTGAATGGTTTGAGGTTGGGGGGAATGGTAGACACACTTCACAAAGTGCATACGACCTTTATGAATCTCTGCTGCTGATCTCTTTTTGATATTCGGCTCGTGAGACCAAAATAAACAAATTATCTTAAGCTACACAAACGTTTTAAAGTACATGTAGTTTTCGACCTAAGAAGATCCGGTTAGGCGTGGTCTTCAGCAACCCATGCTTGTCAGTAGAGGCAACAAACAGGAGTGTCGTATTACGTATTATTATTTAACCGTCAGTGATTTGACATATAGGCGAATCGTTGGTGCATTTGTCAGCGGGTTCATGTGTCCGGGTCACAACTAGTCTTCAGCTACCCATGCTTGTCGTTAGCGGCAACCAACGGGATCTGTGGTCAGGCTCACTGACTTGGTTGACTTTTGTCATCGTATATGCATCCTATTTGCGGAGAGTGATGGTCAGGATGTCAGTCACCGGGTTGTCTGGTACTAAGTCTTTACAGACCGCCGCAAAATGCATGTAGCTGGATTATTGCTGAGTGTGGCGTTAAACAGCAAACAAATAATATATTATTAAAGTTATTAAATAATTAGATCGTCGGTGTCTGCAAAGGGTCTCGTAGGTATCCACTGCACCAACGAAGCTGAAACTTCAATTTTATTCTTACAAACTTGCTGCACGGAGTTGCGTCCCTTTGGCACGCCAGAAACCCATGCTCGTGGGTTTCTAATCTGTCTCACAATTCCTGAACAATATTATTGTTTTCTTATACCCACCCTTATTCACAAATGGCACTTTCTGAATTTAAAAAGGTGATAACAAGATCTGAAAACAAAATAAGGTTTGACATAAATTTCGGATCTCATTATTGTCAAATTATACACTGGCGCCAAAGGCTCGGTTGTAGTGACCCCAACGCTGACATGTATAATAGACATATATCAGATGGGAAGACTGGCCTGATGGATGTCACACCAAAAACGCTTTACACATCGTCTTCGCGATTATAAAGAATCAACAGATAGGCAGTAACATGCATTTCTATTCCCATGGCTATAACCTGGAATCCATCATGAATGGAAACGGACTATTTCTTAAAATATGAAAAATATGAAATCAATACACAATCAATCAAGACGTTTCAAAACTTCCAATACCAATGTTACTTGAATTTGCATACGAGAACGTATCACCAACCCATCTCCACATATTCCTCAAATCCGTTTTGCTCTTCAGACATGATGCTTTGCATGCATTTGTAAACTTGTGGTAATAAAAGGATGATTGATCAGGCATACCAAATTGTAGCTGACCAATTCCTCCTACACCTGTTCATCTGATAGATTTAGACAACTATACAAATACACATCACAGCACTTTGTTTTCGCCATACCTCTGTTTAACACGCAGTCGTTATTGTATAATAAGTTATTTTCTGTTCTGACTAAAATTTGATTATATAATTTAATAAAATACGTTGTACGGGAGCGGTGTTACTATAAGCTAAAACAGCTTGTTCACCGATCCCTATTCATTTATTGAATGAAAATACGTCTAATTCAAATCTCACGAGACTAATTTTCTCTTTACATAGAGTAGTGTATGTCAATCCAAACTGTATATTTTCACTATGGGTTAGTCTAGATCTCGCATCGCCCCGCTTTAGTGAGTGAGTGAGTTTATTTTTCCGCCGCTTTTAGCAATATTCAAGCAATATCACTTCGGGGGACACCAGAAAATGGGTTTCACACATTGTACCCATGTGGGGAATCGAACCTGGGTCTTTGGCGTCACGAGCGAACGCTTTAACCACTAAGCTACACCACCGCCCCGATTTAGAGCTCGTGGGTTCCACTGCAGTTATAAGACCCGCATAACCTAAAGCTCTCCTCACACATCGGAATAACACCCAGTGACGTAACAGGAATACTGTTAAAGACGGAAATAAAATCATCTCATTCACTCAATGTAGGTGTAAGTGTGAATTCACAGATCAACACTTTGAACCTCTTCACCCATGTAAGCCCCGATCCTTCTATTGTCTTGAACGTGTTGGTTGAAGACCGAGAAGCTGAAATAAACCTCCCAGAACACATACAGTTTGACATCACCGTGGGGGACACCGCGTTGAATTGTCCTAATTCTACCACTACTAGTACTACCCTCCTTGCAACATTCGTTTTTCCTTATCACACTGTTCAAAGGAGAGGATGATTGATGGCCGCTCTACTGGTCTTCAAATACAGGCCACACCTGTCTAATCTCTGTTGCATTCTTTGGAAAACAATACGCATAGAACACAGTGCATGCAGGTGCCGGATTATCTCTTTAATCCACCTCTAGGTAGCAGATCCCAGGTTGGATTAATCGCGGTCAGAGCTGTTGATGAAAATCCGCCATCTTGCAGGTCACAAGCCAGTACATCAGTTTCATCTGGCTGACGTGGTTGACACATGTCATCATATCATAATTGTGTAGATTGATGCTCATGCTGTTTATCACAGGATTGTCTGGTCCAGATTCGATTATTTACTGACCGCTGCCATATAGCTGGACAAGTGCTGAGTGAGGCGTTACACAAGAAATAAGCAAACAAATGTCAGTTCCATGCTCTAGAAATACCTCAGAAAATTCGTGAAAAAAATTGGCGTAAAAAGATAAACAATAATTTCTTTCATTACGCATGTTGTGTTGAATATGTATTGTGTATTTCAGGGGATATAAGTGTGTGCTGCAAAAGTGACAGTTATATATTTGGTCTCAAACCCTATAACCCCCAACCCATCCATCCCAATCCCCACCGCCCACTTCATCAGCCCCTCCAAACACACACCCAAATTACCATCCTATAAAATAATCGAACACGGAAAACATGAAAATCTGGAGGAGGTATAAGCGAAAGAGTCAAGATAGAAAAAATATAACTGGCTTTGTGATAATGAAACTAGACAGACATTTAGTCCCAGAAAATTATAATTATGTTGTTGTTTTATAATATAGACCAAACATGATGCAAATGGAGCAGTCGCAGACTTGAGTAGGACTCATGCTTCCTTTATTCTCTAGGCTCTTGAAGACGGGCTATAATGAAGCTGAATATCTATATACGGCTATCTACGAAAAGCGGGTACATGAAAGTGACGAAACAATATAGTCTGTCTCACAGTCCCTGAACCGCATTTTCAGGAATGTTAAAGTCTATTTGAAGCAAGTCTAGATCGCCTCAAGTTCTGAATCTCCCATGACATAGGGGCTCGTTTTCAATTTAAAGGAATTATTTCTTTTCTATCAAAATCATGTATATTCAGAGCTTAGGCAGTAGGCTAGAAACAATATTACCGACCCTTCAGTCTTCAAACTTGTACAGTCATGTACACCCAAGATGGTAAACAGCTGTCATCAACTTCGTATATTTCTTTAAAACGCGCAATATAAACGTTTGTTTGTAGTTCCTGCCACTAAGGATGTCCGTATTTGTTCTGTTTCCCTTCTCTCACTCGCCCTGAATTTCATTCTATCGTCAGGTCAGCTTGAACCCATTCCATCTAAATCTAAGAAAAAATATACTTCTAAAAATAACCTAAACAATTAATCCCGCCAATTATTGTTGACAGAGGAATGCTGTCAAATATAAGGTTCACAGAATTTTGAAGTGACGGGAATTCTATTGTTTTATTTAATGTCGTCTGTCCGCTGACACCTGACACGTGTTTTGAGAAAAGTGTAATCCGTCTAATTTATGTCAGTCGTACAGAAACAATGATGTATATTTAATGAATCCGTCATTCAGAAGCGGATTACAGCGACGCGCTTTCAGAACAAATGGCGCGTGTCGGATGAATTAGAGCAGAGACCATATAATAGATGGTCTCTGATTAGAGGTTACAAAAGAAGAAGAAAAGTTTGTGACATCACTTTTAATTGTACCAAACCACTGCCACTCCACATCTACCGTGACATGTACATTTCATTCTGTCAGAGCATTTGCTTACAAATATCAAAGAAACATAAAGTTAGATTGTATGCATCTTCCCACAAGACGTTTTGATGGTTGTTGATGAATGAATGCCAGCCAGCGCGTTATAACGGGAATGGTGGCGTAAACTACTGCGCATGCGTAAGACGGTGTCATCCAAGGTATTTCTGGGCTGTTCCCAGTCCTCAGTCGCAGCGGAAGAACTCGAGTTGGCCCGAGTACAGGGCTTGTGGCAGACGACAATTCAGTTTGGTTTCGCGAAGTGGATTTCCAAACGGGGAGTAATATCAACATGGATATCTTTGCTCCTTTCGCATGCTTGATATTTCTGAATGGTGAGTAATTTTTTCTCTCATATTCAATTATATATTTATTGAGATTAAAATTATTATCTTGCAATTAATACAGAAATGGTATGTTATGAAACGTTATATTTATAGACAAGGGCAGGTAGCGTACATACTAGATTCCCTTATAGGTTCGATGACTATTACATACAAGCTGATATATTACATGTACACGTTTGTCTGGAACTGTGGCTCAGGGGACTGAGTGTCTGCCCGGGCAGTGGTCGATGGTTCGATTCCCGGCTGTGTCATACCAAACTTTATATATGATGCTTGTTAATATTCTTCCCATGGCTAGCCAGTTGGGACAAAAAGAAGGAATCTAACTGCAAGACACAACCACGTTAATTGCTCCATCTATGTGAACTGCTTCATATATGTTAACTGCTTCATCTATGTTAACTGCTTCATATATGTTAAATGTCTTACCTATGTTAACTGCCTCGTCTATGTTAACTGCCTAGTCTATGTGAACTGCTTCATCTACGTTAACTGCCTCGTCTATGTGAACTGCTTCATCTACGTTAACTGTCTCGTCTATGTTAACTGCCTCGTCTATGTGAACTGCTTCATCTACGTTAACTGCCTCGTCTATGTGAACTGCTTCATCTACGTTAACTGCCTCGTCTATGTTAAATGTCTTACCTATATTAACTGTCTCGTCTATGTTAACTGCCTAGTCTATGTGAACTGCTTCATCTACGTTAACTGCCTCGTCTATGTGAACTGTTTCATCTACGTTAACTGTCTCGTCTATGTTAACTGCCTCGTCTATGTGAACTGCTTCATCTACGTTAACTTCCTCGTCTATGTGAACTGCTTCATCTACGTTAACTGCCTCGTCTATGTTAAATGTCTTACCTATATTAACTGTCTCGTCTATGTTAACTGCCTCGTCTATGTGAACTGCTTCATCTACGTTAACTGACTCGTCTATGTTAAATGTCTTACCTATATTAACTGTCTCGTCTATGTTAACTGCCTCGTCTATGTGAACTGCTTCATCTACGTTAACTGACTCGTCTATGTGTATAACATTAGTCGCCGCGACCCCATTTAACCCATCTGTACTACACTTAATCCAGTGTTAAGAAACCGCATCCCGGCTGCTTCGTTTCGAGGGAGGTAAACCCAAGTACAAAATATTGCACTTTTGATTTGCGATTATACGCTTATAATTTTGTTTATTTGTTGTTTCATAATCAGCAATGCATATTATATGTCATGAAGAAGTGATAATTGTGTTTTATTTATGTTTGATTTTTTGGTTGCATGTGACCTTTAAGCTACACGCTGATGCATGTAGCTGTAAAATACAATGACGCTTAACGCGATTCAATGACCTGTTTCCTTCACCTCGCATATATGCGGGACTGTCAATTCAACACGCTACGCACAAGCCTGTAAACATTACAGCACGTTATATAAGGTCGTGTAAATAAGCTTTTGTCCTCCAACGCCAACTATTTTTCAAGTTTACGCGTAGGGTAAAACCTAATCCATTTAAGCTGTTCCATATCTAGCATTGCGTATAAGTTTATATAGGCACCTGCCTGATAGGTTTCTTAAATCTGGATTAAGTGTAGTACAGGTGTGTTAACTGGGGTCGCTTGGACTAATGTTATACACATTTATTGTTGGGGTGTTCCCCTATATGTGGTGTATGTGTTGAATGTTATACACACATTTATTGTGGGAGTGTTCCCCTATATGTGGTGTATGTGTTGAATGTTATACACACTTATTGTTGGGGTGTTCCCCTATATGTGGTGTATGTGTTGAATGTTATACACACTTATTGTTGGGGTGTTCCCCTATATGTGGTGTATGTGTTGAATGTTATACACACATTTATTTTGGGAGTGTTCCCCTATATGTGGTGTATGTGTTGAATGTTATACACACATTTATTGTGGGAGTGTTCCCCTATATGTGATGTATGCGTTGAATGTTATACACACTCTTATTGTTGGAGTGTTCCCCTATATGTGGTGTATGTGTTGAATGTTACACACGCATTTATTGTTGGAGTGTTCCCCTATATGTGGTGTATGTGTTGAATGTTATACACACTTATTGTGGGAGTGTTCCCCTATATGTGGTGTGGTGTATGTGTTGAATGTTATACACACATTTATTGTGGGAGTGTTCCCCTATATGTGGTGTATGTGTTGAATGTTACACACGCATTTATTGTTGGAGTGTTCCCCTATATGTGGTGTATGTGTTGAATGTTATACACACATTTATTGTGGGAGTGTTCCCCTATATGTGGTGTGGTGTATGTGTTGAATGTTATACACACACTTATTGTTGGAGTGTTCCCCTATATGTGATGTATGCGTTGAATGTTATACACACATTTATTGTGGGAGTGTTCCCCTATATGTGGTGTATGCGTTGAATGTTATACACACTTATTGTTTGGAGTGTTCCCCTTTAGTTGTGTTTTCGTTGAATGTGCAGCATGGCAAGCAGTATTTCCACACATGGCCAGTCAAGTAAAACCAGCCTGGTACCTTCGCGGTCAGCTGTAAGACACAATGCCACTGTATGGCCCTACTAAATGTAGAACAACGAGAAAGAAAAAAATGAACGCTAGTTCAGTGTTTTATTAATTTTAAAAAATTCCACTTTGCAAGTGCCTGTCACATAAAGTTGTATGTTTTATGTTAGCTAACAATTATACAAACAAGAAATATGTAATCGGTGGTGATGCATCAGAACGGTGTTTCATCCAACTTTCATCTCATAACTGTATCTGATACGAGTCGAAATTTTGTGAGTGGGTATAATACTCAAAATTCTCCAAATAATGACAATCCTGGAGGACGAGTAGGGTTGCGCATCATATTGGGTGCGTTCTATACACCAGAAAACACCCCTTTTGATAAGGACATCAGGTGTGGTTTGGACATGCAGCGTTTCGCCGACTGTTTCAACCTTGTAACGTTTTGATCGTGTTTGTAACTATTTGGTATTATCCAATTTTCAAGTGAATAATTTCCTTGTCCGGCAAAGTCGTCCATTTGCAGTTCCGGCACTTAAGAAGATTGATTGCTAATGCATGACAGTTGTGAGGACTGTTAGTCATTGTTGAGTTCATTGAACCATGGTTGCCTGGACGGGGTAAAGCAAAGTAAAGCGTTCCTGACACCAGCGCTACTCCAATAGTGTAGCCACAGGCATTGCCAGTCAACACACAGACAAGTACAACACAATGCTCGTGTAACCCTGTTTAACACAGCTATCAAATATCGCCCTGACGTTATCGGTGTGTAAATGATAGTATTGTTGTCAGTAAAGAACAAATTTTGAGGGCGGCCCTTAAATGATCGAATCTGGACGATAATCCAGTGATCTGAGGTCATGTAGCACGGTCTGGCGTCAGTCTAGGTCAAGACATTGTAATAGCAAAATGTGAAAAGAAGACAGTATATGCTTAACTACTGTACGTCTGGCTCAAAAGCGGACCGATGAATTGCAATCTAACTCGAAAACTAATAAACATAACATACTCAATGAAACGCTGATCATAATCAAAACATCATACCCACTCTGTGAGGTTTTTGCAGAATTTTTGTCCTAAAAATAAAAAAGTTGTTTAACAATCTATCATCAAAATATTGACACAGTTCACTGTTTGTTACGAGGGAGGAGTGCAGAGAAAGGGACAGCCAGGTGTTCGAGAAGCACGTTCACAGACAAAGTTATTTATTCATTAACCTGTGCTGTGCCGTCTCCATCCGTTCTCGAACACCTGGCTGTCCCTTTCTCTGCACTCCTCCGTCGTAACAAATAGTGAACTGTGTCAATATTTTGATGATAGATTGTTAAACAACTTTTTTATTTTTAGGACAAAAATTCTGCAAAAACCTCACAGAGTGGGTATGATGTTTTAATTATGATCAGCGTTCCGTTGAGTATTTTATGTTTATTAGTTTTCGAGTTAGATTGCAATTCATCGGTCCGCTTTTGAGCCAGACGGACTATAGGGTAATTATTAATTGCCTGGTTGATGACATTAAAATAAGATATTAGATCGATATGACATCTCTTGGCGTGAAGGGTAGCCTGGGACGGTGGGTAGCCTAGTGGTTAAAACGTTCGCTCGTCACGCCGAAGACCCGGGGTTCGATCCCCTTTCAGCTGGAATATTGCTAAAAGCGGCGTAAGACCTAACTCTCACCTAGTCAGCGGTCGGATTTTTTAAATACTAAATAGACGCGGGATTGTGGCTCACAATTGATCACTGTATTGTCTGGTCTAGTAACATTTCTAAAGTGCAGCCTTGAACATGTTTTTCAACAGGTGCGCTGTGTATGCATCCTTGTCCCGAGTGAATCTTAACTACCCATATAACAAAATAAATAATACAGATATCCCGGGCGCCGCTCGTTGAGCGGTGACGAAGTGCAGTAGTTTTACTTCGTTAAGAAACATTATGTAATTCATCGCTCGAGGACACGGTTTAATTTTTAATGACTACCCCTATGTTCTGACGTGCCAGTGCATTTACAGTTAATCTCAACTGTCACGGAATGAAGTCCGTGGCCTTGACCCGTGACCCCTATACAGAGACTGATTCTCTGCTTATCTTTTGTATGTATAGTAAGGGTGTCTTCTACGTTTTTTACGGTTTATTTATAACCATACACAATTGCATACTGTTGCAACTCTTGATACGGTTTCCCCTTTTGAATGAAATGTCGCATGTCCTTATACATCGCTTTGGGGATAGACTAACCGTTAGTCTCTGAAAACATATACTAACTGACTGAGTTTGGTTTTACGCCGCTTTTAGCAATATTCCAGCAACATCACGGCGGGGGACACCAGAAATGGGCTTCACACATTGTGCCCATGTGGGGACTCGAACCTGAAAACATATAACTGTGATGGATACATATAATTCCGTTTAATTGGAAAGAAGCCCTGGTGAGATAAGAGATCCTGAACCTGAGGAAAGCTAGACTTGCTTCATTAAG